TCGTGATGCAGGGGGTCGATTTAGCATCGGAGAGCAAGCAGAGCGAGGTCTAATACGTGGCGGTGGTCCTCCGTTTCGGGGGGATGCACCTAGCCTGGGGCTCGATGGAGTGCGTATGGGCCGTGGCAGAGGAGCTGGTAGTTGGGTCGGTCCTATGCCGCCCCCGTTTGCTGACGCACCACCTCTGTTGTCCCCGAATGGAGGCTATTTCTCGAACGGCAGGGGCTTGGGTGGGCGTGGGGTTGGGTGGCCCGGAGGATTCGGACACATGAGTGGCATGGGAGCTAGTTCATTGGAACTTTCGCATGGTGGGCGAGGGCCACCTGGAGTTATGAACCTGGGGATGGGAACGGGTTTAGGACCTGTGCGACCGAGGTGTCTGGATTTTGAAGAACGAGGGTTCTGTCTTCGAGGAGATCTGTGTCCCATGGATCATGGTTCCCACATTGTCGTGGAGGATGTGCAGGTAAGATGCTGCTTCAGTCGGTGAGGTGTCACAGCAGCTTCCAGAAGCGAGAGCATGGGAGTCTGGATGGTCGGTGTATTTCGTGTAGGGTGTTGAGATGCGTAGGTTCCATGGCATGTCTGATTGGGCTTGTTTTTTGCACAGAAAAGAAGCGCATGAAAATGAGATAGGGCGAGGATCAGCAGGTTCCTTTCGTTGAATTTGGATGTTGTTCGTAGGATTCTATTTGCAGGAATCTAGGCCCTGCTAGCATACGGTGGTGGGTGCTATGGGTACGATTGTCCGCTCACCTGGAACTCCAGGCAAGGAGTTCAATGGGTCGCCCTCGGCGGTGAGGACTAAGAAACCTCATTTCTCCAGCTAAGCGTTCTGATTGTTGCTCACTCTGCAGAGCCTGTCCCAATTTAACCTGCCTGTCAACCTTTCAAGTGGGCGAGGCATGGCTGTGGCGCCCGGGCAGATGGCAGCCTCCAATACCATGCTACCCACTTCTGCACCTTCAAGTTCTCGGGGGAGCCGAGGGAGCCGGGAGCCGAGTATTCCTCCACTAGAAGCTCCGATCGTGGTGAATGGCCAAGTGTCTGGTGCTGAACCTGACCTGTACGATCCAGATCAACCGCTTTGGAACAAAGACAGACCTGAGGCCACGGGAAGGGTTAGAAAGTTGTCAGCGTTTCAGACGGAACATCTTGAGGTGGTTAAAGAGAAACCGGAACTGAAGAAGAACCCAGATGGGCGAGGGGTTGATGGTGGCAGCAGAGGTGCCAACAGCAGCAGCTTGCATGGTGCAGACGCAGTGTCCACTGTGTGGGATCGCATAGGACTTGTAGATGTAAGCGCTGCTAGTGCAGGGGTGAAATTAGAAGAACAGCGGGGTCAGAGCAGAGGAGTTACGTGGCAGCCCGGAAGATGGGAAGACCGTGAACCTGTCAGCGGAGCCACCAACCTCAATACAAATCCTGGACGAGGACGGGGTGCTGCCGGGTGGGCAGAGGTAGGTCCTCCATTCAACCGCTCCAAAGATGGGAGCAAGTTGGGGCCTCGCGCTCCTGGGCGCAGCGTAGAACATGCTCAACGCACACTCTATGTGAACTGCATACCTCCCAATGCTAATCAGGCAGAGGACTTGCTCATGCACTTTGAAAAGTTTGGACGTGTTGTGGATGTCCGAATTCCTCCACACAGTGACAGAGCCTTTATCCAGTTCGCTACTCGAGAGGAGGCGGAGTCAGCACTGGCTTCCCCCGATGCTGTGATGGGGAACCGATTCATACGATTGTCGTGGGCTAATCGTGATAGCATCAATAGTGATAGCGGCGCTTCCACTTCTTTTACTGGTCAGCCGCCAACCTCTGGCTCTGAAGCAGCAGGTGGCCATGCTGCACTAGTAAAAGGTAGAGGAAAACTGAGTTTGACTGGTCTGAATGGAGTCGTTGCCGGCCTGTCGGGAACTTCGATCCCAGAAGGCAGCAACAAAGCCACCACATCGAATGGTTCCGCAACTTCCTTGATTAGCCCAGTAGCTATGGCATCAAAGAAACAGGAGGAATTAGAGCTTATGCGTGAGAAGATCCGTCAGAAGCAAGAGGCCCTAGCTCAGAAACGCGACGATTTTCGGCGGAAGCTCGACAAGCTCGCTAGTCAGGTGAACCGTTTACCTTCGGATGATCTTGGTTTTGGTTTTGGTTTTGGAAATGATTTTGATTTTGACTTTGTTTTCATGATTTTAATGTGAGAATGATACCAGTCTGCCTAGGGGATACGACATGAAACTGCGCTGTGGTAGAGGTGGTCGTGATGTTTCAATGATCTGCCATGAGAGTCCCTCGAGTAGAATCCATGAATGGTGCAGTCTCCAGCGGCGGATCTTCGAACATGTGTTCTTTCTCCTAGGACTGTGGAGTTCCCTGTTTTATAACATTCATGGTGTGCGTGTGCGTGTGTATGTTATGATTTGTTTTTCTGTTCTTTTCCTGGGAGTTTGTTGAAGCTTTTGCCTTGGTTCCAGGGGGTTGCAGGATCCGAGGACCCTATAGTAGACCATGCCAGCAAGCGACAGAAAGGGGACAATTCTAGTGACGTGAGACCGTGCAAAGATATTGCCGCTGTTGGCAGTTTAACGACTACTTCTGGCATTAGGAAGACGAACTCGGGGGAAGTTGCGCAGGCAGGGACGACACAGGCGTCATCGAAGCCTACAAGATCTCCCCATCGTCGGACACCTTCGGGAGCATCTGTAGGACACCCCGCATCTGCGTGGGGTCCTGGACGATTCAAACTTGATAATCGCACAACGGCTTTTAGGGTTCTGCCTCCTCTTCCGGCTACTATCTCTGATGTAAGTGTCACTCCGCCCTTTTTCTCTCTCGGTTGCTGAAGCAAGCGAAGAAAATAGTCAAGCTTGGGGCGTAGCATAAACAGAATGGTTGCCAGGGTTTGTTTTGAAGTTGTGTGAGGTGGGGTAACAGCGCACATATGCGGAGCTTAACAAAGAAAAAAATTGCTGTTGATGCGAGCAGGTTGCAGCTGTAAAAGACCATTTCGCTGCCTTTGGCGAGCTATCACGCGTGGAAGTCGAGGATGCAGAGGATCACACAGTGGATTCTGGACCCCTCTGGAAATCGAGGACCCCCATACGGATTAGCTACGGTACTCCGAGGAGTGTTTAATGAGCTATGACGCAGGGCAGGCGGTTTCCCGGTCTGTCGTTAAATTCTGTTTG